CCCATCTCCCGAGGGATCCTGCCCCCCCAAATCCCTGGATCCCCCCAGATCCCATCTCCCGAGGGATCCTGCCCCCCTTGATCCCCCCAGATCCCATCTCCCGAGGGATCCTGCCCCCCCAGATCCCTGCCCCGTACTGGGCACGTAGATCTCCGCCCGCTGCTCGTCCGGGAGTTCGCTCCAGTTGCGCTTGGCCGTGGCCACCACCGGCTTCTTCACCAGGAACGCGCGCGGCATGGCCGGATGGATCCCGCTGGATCCCGCTGGATCCCCCGGTCCCGATGGATCCCGGTGGATCCCTGCTCCGATCCCCGGCGGCTGCGGTGCCGATCCCCGGCTCCCGGCGGGGCTGGGTCCCGGTTCCCCGGTTGGATTTGATCCCAATCCGGAGAGTTTGGCCAAGACCCGCAGCCGATCCCAAATCCTTGGGGACTTTTGATCACAGAACTCGAATATTCGGTCAGCGGCTCCCGCCGATCCCAAATCCTCGCCCGGTTCTGGTGCCGATCCCAAATCCTCGCTCGGTTCTGGTGCCGGATCCCAAATCCTCGCCCGGTTCTGGTGCCGGATCCCCGATCCCGCCGGATCCCCCCGCGCCGCCCCCTCAGCGGCGCTGTCCCGGCGCTGTCCCGGGGCTGTCCCGGGGCTGTCCCGGGGCTGTCCCGGAGCTGTCCCGGAGCTGTCCCGGCGCTGTCCCGGCTCTCCTGTCCCGGTTGTGCTGTGCTGCTGCCGGTCCCGGCGGTGTTATCCCGGTCCCGGCGGTGTTATCCCGGTCCCGGCTCTGTTATCCCGGTCCCGGCTCTGTTATCCCGATTGTCCTGGTGCTGTCCCGGCTGCGTTATCCCGGTTGTGCTGCTCCCGGCTCTGTTATCCCGGTCCTGGCTCTGTTATTCCGGTTGTGCTGTCCCGGTCTTGTCCCGGTGCCAGAGATGCTGTCCTGGTGCTATCCCGGTCCTGGCGGTGCCGTGCCGGTCCCGTTAGTGCTGTCCCGGTGCTGTCCTGGTCTTGTCCCGGTCCCGTTAGTGCTGTCCCGGTGCTGTCCCGGTCCTGGAGATGCTGTCCCAGTCCCGTCCCTGTCCCGTCCCGGTCCCGTTAGTGCTGTCCCGGTTCCGTCCCGCTCCCGGAGCTGCTGTCCCGGTGCTGTCCCGGTCCCGCTCCCGGTCCCGGTGCTGCTGTCCCGGTGCTGTCCCGCTCCCGGTGCTGCTGTCCCGGTCCCGGTGCTGCTGTCCCGGTTCCGTCCCGTTCCCGGTGCTGCTGTCCCGGTCCCGCTCCCGGTGCTGCTGTCCCGCTGCCGTCGCGGCCGTGCCGTGCCGGTCCCGGCGGTGCCGCCCCGCCGCGCGTCCCCGTCCCGCCCCGCGGTGCCCCGGACCGGTTCCGCCGGTCGGGCCGGGCCGCGCCGCAGCCGGAGCCGGTCGGGCGGGCGCCGCTTGGGAAATAACGGGGAGCCCCCGCCCCGGCCCGGGGACACCGCGGGACGCGGGGACGGCCACGGGGCGGGGACAGCGGCCGTGGGGCACCGGGACACGGGGGGACACGGGGACATTGGGGACACTGGGGGACACCGGGACACCGGGACACGGGGGACATTGGGGGACACCGGGATTTTGGGACACTGGGGACATTGGGGGTATCTGGGGACATCGAGGACACCGGGACATTGGGGACACTGGGGATGGGGACACCGGGGACAGGGGGACACTGGGGACAGCCACCGGAGGTGTTCCAGGGGGGTCAGGGTGTCCCCAAAGAGGGTCAGGGTGTCCCAAGGGGGGGTCAGGGTGTCCCCAAAGAGGGTCAGGGCGTCCCCAAAGAGGGCCAGGGTGTCCCAGGGGGGTCAGGGTGTCCCCAAGGGGGGGTCAGGGTGTCCCTGGGGGCGTCAGAGTCCCCAAATCCGCGGGACCCCTCCCCAAACCGGGGCGCCGCCCCCCCCCGCACTGGCGCTGCAGCTGCTGCTGGGGGGGGAGGGGCCTGAGCTGTCGCGACATGGCGGGACATGCCCCCCCCCAAAAAAAAAAACAAACTGGAAATTGCAAAATCCGTGTCTGCTTCTAGGGGTGGGGGGCTCGGGGGGGTCCCTGTGGGGCTGGGGGCTCCGGGGGGCTCGGGGGGGGCTCTGGAGGCTAGGGGTCCCCATAGGGCTGGGGGTGTCCCTGAAGGTTTGGGGGGGGGTCCCAACAGACGCTTGGGGGGGGGTGCTCAGAACGCCCCCCGGCCCCGAACTACATCTCCCATCATTCCCCGCCCTTTCCGTACGGCGCCGCCATCTTTGTTCCAAACTGGGCGCCGCCATCTTGGCTCCGTTCCTGGGCGCCTCCGCGCCCCTTCCGGCGCGCGGTGACGTCACTTCCGCCCTCCTCGAGCCGATCAGCGATGGCGGCGCGGGGCTGGGACCGGGTCCGGGTCCGGGTCCCGCCCGGCGCCGCTCCGGAGCCGCTCCCGGTGCAGCTCCTGCCCTGCCGCGTCCGGCACGACGGGCCCGCGCCCGTGGCCGCGTTCCTGCGGGCCCGGCCCGGCCCCGGCGGCGGTGCGGCCCGGGGCGGCCCGGGGGGAGCCCTGGGGGGATCTGGGGGGTCCTGAGGGGAGATCCCGCCGAGTCCGGGGGGCTGGGGGAGGGGTCGCGGGTCTCGGGAAAGTCTGGGGGTCCCGGCTGGCTTTGGGGGTCGCGTGGCGGTTTAGGGATGCCCAGGGGGTTCTGGGGGTCCCGGGGGGGGTTTTGGGGCTCCCGGGCGGGTTCTGGGGGTCCCGGGATGAGGTTTTGGTGGTCCAGGGCCGGTTTTGGGGGTCTCAGGTGGGTTTTGGGGGTCCCGGGATGAGGTTTTGGGTGTCCTGGGCCGGTTTTGGGTGTCCTGGGTGGGTTTTGGGGGTCCCGGGATGAGGTTTTGGGGCTCCCTGGTGGGTTTTGGGGGTCCCGAGCGGGTTTTGGGGTCCCCCATCTCACTCTCCCCCCAGAGCTCTGGGCCTCGTTCCGGGGGCGCCGCTTGGGGGGCCGGGAGCTGCCGCTGCCCCCCGGCTACTCGGGGGTCGTGCTGCGGGAGGGGGAGCCCGGGGACCCCCAGGTGGGGCAGAGACCCCCCCCCAACCCCCCCCCCCGGGGCTCAGCACCCCCTTTCCCCATCTCCGGGGGGTCCCGGCCCCCCTGACCTTTTCCCTCTGCCCCTGACCTTTGACCTTTTCCCTCTGCCCAGGCCGGCTGGGTGACCCCGGCCGGGGCCTTCGGCGCCATCACGGACTGGGGGGGCGACGCCGCCCCCGCCCCCGACCGGGGCCTGGCCCGGGCCCTGCAGTGGGCGCCCCTCGCCCGGGCCGTGAGTGCGGCTGGGGGCAATTTTGGGGGGCTGGGGGCACATCTGGGGGGGCTGGGGGCACATTGGGGGGGCTGGGAGCACATTTAGGGGGTCTGGGGACACATTTGGGGGGCTGGGGTCTCATTTGGGCTCTGGGGGCACATTTGGGGGATCTGGGGGGCACATTTGGGGGGTTTTGTGGTCACATTTGGGGTCTGGGGGCATATTTGGGGGGGCTGGGTGCCCATTGGTGGTCTGGGGGCATATTTGGGGGGTTTTGGGGTCACATTTGGGGTCTGGGGTCTCATTTGGGGCTCCCCCAGCCCCCCTCACCCTGCCCCTCCCCCAGCTCCACGCCCCCGTGAGTGACAGCGACGAGGAGGCGGAGCAGTGACAGGCCACGCCCCCGAGCCACGCCCACAACTGGAGCCACACCCACCTCATTAGCATTTCCAGCCACACCCACTGGGCGGAGCTCATTTAAATAAAAGTGCCTGCAGCCCCTCCCAGTGTGAGTGGAGCCTGTGGAAGCCCCGCCCACTTTATTTAAAAAAACCCAACACACCAATCACTGTCCAGAGGAGGCCCCGCCCACATACGCAGCCACGCCCCCGTGGGTGTGGCCCAGCAGAGCCCCGCCCCTTTCTCGGCCAATAAAGGAATTGCAGCGCAGGTGTGGGCGGGGCCAGGTGTGATTAATGAGCGGCGCCGGGGGCGGGGCCGGGTGGGCGTTTCTGTGTCCATGGGTGTGTTCAGGTGGGCGTTTCCATGGGCATATCCAGGGCGTGCCCAGGTGTCCGTGTCCATGTCCCTGTCCTCGTGTCCATGTGCATGTCCCGTGTCCATGTCTGTGTCGCAGTGTCTGTGCCGTGTCCGTGTCCCTGTGTCCATGCCGTGTCCGTGTCCGTGTCCCGGTCCTTGTGTCCGTGTCCGTGTCCTTGTGTCCATGTCCGTGTCCCTGTGTCCATGCCGTGTCCGTGTCCATGTCCATGTCCCTGTCCTGATGTCTATGCCATGTCCGTGCCGTGCCCATGTCTGTGCTGTGTCCGTACCATGGCCGTGTCCATGCCATGTCCGTGTACATGTCCATGTCCGTGCCATGTCCATGTCCATGCCGTGTCCGTGTCCATGTCTCTGTCCTGGTGTCTGTGGCATGTCTGTGCTGTGTCCCGGTGTCCATGTCCGTGTCCGTGGTGGCGTGTCCGTGTCCCTGTCCTGGTGTCCATGTCTGTGCTGTGTCCCGGTGTCCGTGTCCCTGCTGTGTCCGTGCCATGTCCGTGGCATGTCCGTGTCCATGTCCACGCTGTGTCCGTGGCGTGTCCGTGTCCGTGTCCATGCCGTGTCGGTGTCCATGTCCACGCCGTGTCCGTGGCGTGTCCGTGGCCTCACCACTTGCCGCGCTTGCTCCAGTCCTTGGGGGTGAAGTGCAGGCACTTGGCGTCGATGCGCAGCAGCCGCTTCAGCATGGCGCGCTCGTGGCCCTCCACGATGTCCTCAGACAGCGTCAGGATGTACTGGCCCTGCACGCGGGGACAGGAACATGTGTGTCAGGTGTGCACACGTGTGTCAGGTGTGCACACGTGTGTCACGTGTGTCAGGATGTACTGGCCCTGCTCGCAGGGACGGGTGGCAACACGTGTGTCAGGTGTGCACACGTGTGTCAGGTGTGCACACGTGTGTCAGGTGTGTCAGGATGTACTGGCCCTGCACGCGGGGACGGGTGGCAACACGTGTGTCAGGTGGGAACACGTGTGTCAGGTGTGCACACGTGTGTCAGGTGTGTCAGGATGTACTGGCCCTGCACGCAGGGACGGGAACACGTGTGTGAGGTGTGCACACGTGTGTCAGGTGCGTCAGGATGTACTGGCCCTGCTCGCGGGGACAGGTGGCAACACGTGTGTCAGGTGGGAACACGTGTGTCAGGTGTGCACACGTGTGTCAGGTGTGCACAGGTGTATCAGGGTGTACTGAGTCTGTACAGGTGTGCACAGGTGTGTCAGGTGTACAGATTCATACAGGTGTGTCAGGGTGTACTGGCCCTGCAGGAACGGGTGTGTCAGGTGTGCACAGGTACAGGTGTGTCAGGGTGTACTGGCCCCGTACACGCGTGTCAGGACCTCCTCCAGGTGTGTCAGGACCCCCCGGAGTGTCAGACCCCACCCAGGTGTGTCAGGTGTGCGAGGCCCCGCCCCCCCAGGTGTGCCAGCCCCACCTTGTAGTAGTTGATGAGGTTCAGGTACTGCAGCGTGGAGATCACGTCCTCCTTCTTGATGCTCGTGATCTCGCTGATCTCGCTGCGGGAGGGGCAGTGAGGGGGGGCTGCAACCCCTGACCCCCGCGGCACCCCCCAAAATCCCCCAGAATCCCTGGAATCCCCCAGGACCCCCCAAAATCCTCCCAAAATCCATGAAACCCCCAGAATCCCCCAAAATCCCTGGAACCCCACAGAACCCCCCCGAGGTTGGGAAGTGAAGGGGCGGAGCCTGCAGTGGGTGGGCGTGGCCTTGTGGGCGTGGCCTGGAGCAGCTGTCCATCAATGCTGAGCATTGATTGGCAGCTGGGGCGGAGCCTCGGGGGCGTGGCTTGGGGTGGGCGTGGCCAGATATGCCACGCCCTCCATTGTGGGCGGGACTTAGCGGTGGGCGGGGCTTTAGGGGGTGGATCCTGATAAGGGTGTGGCCCAGGGGGCGTGTCTTCTGCAAGTGGGCGTGGCCTGCGTGAGCCGCCCATATTGGGTATCGCTGTGGTGGGTGGAGCCTCAGGAAAAGGGGCGTGGCTTCACAGAGGGGCAAGGTTTTACAAAGGGGTGTGGCCTCCGGAAGGGGGCGTGGTCTCGGGAAGGGGGCGTGTCTCACTTGATGGTGATCTGGGGCCGCTCGCCCGCCTCGGCCTTGAGCCCCATGAGGATCTCCAGGATGGTCTGGGACCAGTAACTGCGGTAGGAGAGCAGCCCCAGGTCCGAGAGCGGCTTCTCGGGGGTGCCCGTCTTGCCCTCCACCTTGGAGAGCTCGTAACCTGCACGGAGCAGCGCGAGCTGAGGGCGACGGGACGGGGACGGGGGACAGGGGGACAGGGGGACAGGGGGACACGGGGGACAGGGGGACACAGGGGACAGGGGGAACACGGGGGACAGGGGGCATTGGGGTGAGTTTGGGTGGGTTTGGGTGGATTTGGGGTGAGTTAGGGTGTGTTTGGTGGGGATTGGGTGGATCTGGGGGGGGATAGGGTGGGTTTGGGGTAGGTTTGGGTGGCTCTGGGTGGATTTGGGCTGGGTCTGGGTGGCTTTGGCACTGACTGAACTCGATGAGCAGCTTGCCGTAGCCGCGGCGCTGGTACGGGGGCAGGGTGAGGATGCAGGCCACGTTGTAATCCTCAGTCGACTCCTTCTCCTGCAGGGAACCCGGGATCAGATCCCAAAAACACCCTGGGACCTCCCCAAAAACCCCTGGGACCGCCCCAAAACCCCCCTGAATCCCCCCAGACCCCCCAAATCTCCCCTAGACCACCAAGACCCCCCAAATCTCCCCCACACCCCCTCAAATTCCTCCCAAATCCCTCCCAGACTCCCCAGTTCCCTCTCAAACCCCCCTAGATCCCCCCAAATCCCCCCCAAATCCTCCCAGAACCCCTCAAATCCCCCCAAAATCCCCTCTAGACCCGCCAAATGCCCCCTGGACCCCCCCAAATCCCCCCCGGGCCCCCCACCTTGGAGAAGTAGCCCACGATGTGGAAGCCTTTGCAGTCGTACTCGGTCATGACGTAGAAGAGGAAGGGGTCGGTGTCGTAGTAAAGGGTTTTGTGGTCCAGGAAGCACTTGGCCAGCAGGCAGAGGTTCTGGGAATAGCTCTGGGGAGGGGTCCCGGGGGGGTCAGGTGGGGGAGACCCCCAAGGGACCCCCCCGGGACCCCCCGAGCCCCTCACCTTGTTCTTGCGGCCGTCGATCTCGAAGAAGGAGATGGTGCCCTTGCGGTAAATCTCATTGCCAGGGGGGTGCCGCAGGTCACACTTGGTCTGGGGAGGGGATTTTGGGGGGTTTGAGGGGGTTTTGGGGGGTTTGAGGGGGTTTTGGGGGAGTTTGATGGGGTTTTGGGGGGTTTGAGAAAGTTTGAGGGTGGAAGGGGAAGATCAGGAGGAAAACGAGGAGGGAAGAGGGGAGAAAAAGGGAAAAATTTAGGGGGAGGAAGTTTGGGGTAAGGGGGTGTCCAAATCCCCAAATCCCTTAAAAGTCTCCTAAAACTCCCCCAAATCCCCCTTACACCCCCCTAAAACTCTCCCAAATCCCCCTAAAACTGCCCCAAACCCCCCTAAAACTCTCCCAACCCCCTCAAACCCCCTAAAATTCCCCTAAACCCCCCTAATACTTCCCCAAATCCCCCTAAAACTCCCAGAAACCCTGTAAAACTCTTCTGAATCGCCCCAATACTCCCCCAAATCCCCCTAAATCCCCCCTAAAACTCCCCGGAACACCCCTAAATCCCCCCCAAAATCCCCCCAATCCCCCCTAAAACTCCCCAAAACCCCCCTAAACCCTCCTAAAACTCCCCCAAACACCCCTAAAACTCTCCCAACCCACTCAAACCCCCTAAAACTCCCCTAAACACCCCCCAAACCTCCTAAAACTCCCCCAAATCCCCCTAAATCCCCCCTAAAACTCCCCGGAACACCCCTAAATCCCCCCCAAAATCCCCCCAATCCCCCCTAAAACTCCCCAAAACCCCCCTAAACCCTCCTAAAACTCCCCCAAACACCCCTAAAACTCTCCCAACCCACTCAAACCCCCTAAAACCCCCCTAAACACCCCCCAAACCTCCTAAAACTCCCCCAAATCCCCCTAAATCCCCTCTAAAACTCCCCCGAACACCCCAAAATCCCCCCCAGTCCCCCCCGCCCGGCCGTACCAGGTGGCGCTGCAGGCAGCGCAGGCTGTGCCCGTACTTGAGGCAGAACTCGCACAGGTAGAGCACGGGCAGCCCCGTCAGCTCCTGCGGGTACGGCGAGAAGTACCAGGGCTTGAGGCGGTGCCGGCCCAGCTCGATGCACTCGATGTTCTTCATGCGCGTCACGATGTCGTCGTGGCTGCGGTCCGACACCAGGCTCCCGGTCATGCGCGGCGCCGACGGGGCCCCGTCCGACGAGTCCTGCGAGTCCTGGGCGGGGGGCAGCGCGCTCAGGGCCCGGGGGGCTCCCCGCCCGCCTCCTGGCGCTCCCCATTCCGGCTGCTCTGTGCCTTCCTTGCCTCAGTTTGTGCCTTTCCTGCCTCAGTTTCCCCATTCCGGCTGCTCTGTGCCTTCCCTGCCTCAGTTTGTGCCTTTCCTGCCTCAGTTTCCCCATTTCCTGCTGGTTTGTCCATTTCCTGCCTCAGTTTGTGTTTTTCCTGCCTCAGTTTCCCCGTTTCTGGCTGGTCGGTGCCTTCCCTGCCTCAGTTTCCCAATTCCGGCTGGTCGGTGCCTTCCCTGCCTCAGTTTCCCCATTCCGGCTGGTCTGTGCCTTCCCTGCCTCAGTTTCCCTATTCCGGCTGGATTGTGCCTTCCCTGCCTCAGTTTCCCTATTCCGGCTGGATTGTGGCTTCCCTGCCTCAGTTTCCCTATTCCGGCTGGTTTGTGGCTTCCCTGCCTCAGTTTCTCTGTTTCTGGCTGGTTTGTGTCTTTCCTGCCTCAGTTTCCCTGTTTTTAGATTGCTCTTCTCCAACTTTGCCTCAATTTCCCCATTCCTAGGTTGCTTTTCCCCAACTCTGCCTCAGTTTCCCCATTTTTAGGTTACTTTTCCTCATCCCTGCCTCAGTTTCCCCGTTTTTAGGCCACCCCCCATCCCTGCCTCAGTTTCCCCACTTCCAGCTGACGTTTCCTCATTTCCAGGCCATTTTCCCCTCCCGTGCCTCAGTTTCCCCAGCCCCAGAGCCCGTTTCCCTCCTCCCCTCCCCCCCAGGGCAGGGCAGCCCCTCCCCCCCGGTGTCCCCGTGTCCCCCCGGTGTCTCCAATGTCCCCCCGGTGTCCCCCCGGTGTCCCCACCTCGTCCGTCCCCAGGCAGGCCGACTTCCTCTTGCGGCCCGGCTGAGCCGCCACCGCCCGGCGCGCGGAGCCGTTCTGGGGGAGAGGGGGTCAGTGTCTGCCCCCCAAAATCCCCAAAACCACCCCAAAACCACCCCAAAATCCCACAAATTCACCCCAGAATTACCCAAAACCACCCAAAACTGCCCCAAATCACCCAAAATCCCCAAATCCACCCCAAAACTGCCCAAAACCACCCCAAAACTGCCCGAAACCACCCAAAATCCCCAAATTCACCCAAAATCCCCAAATCCACCCCAGAACTGCCCGAAACCACCTCAAAACCCCAAAATTCAGCCCAAAGCCCCCCAAAATCTCCCCCAAAACCGACGCAGACACCCCAAACCCACCCAGACTGGTGTTACTGGTATTGTTACTGGCCCATACTGGTGTTACTGGCCCACACTGGTGTCATATACTGGACCATACTGGTGTTGATACTGGGCCATACTAGTCCATACTGGTGTTACTGGTC